GCTCCACTCGCTATGACGGCGGCTTGCTGCAGGTTGAGCCCATGGGTCGAATATGGTGAGTGGGTCGACCTCCGAATTTGATGTGCTCTCCGGGCGCCATACTCTTCGTGTGGATTCCACAGGGCGCTTGCCGCCTGCTAAAATAGCAGACTTTGACTTGGCATAATTACTCTCAACACGATGGAGCAAGATGGCGTTTTGCTTCCATGTAAACGTGGCTGGTGATACATCGGCTTTTCCTACCAAAAGCCATGTTGATGTGTTCAGGGCCCTGAGCGGGCGTAGTGGCAGTTTCTCGAGTCCTAGCCATTTCTGGACATCCTCGTTTGTTGCACCAGTAGGTACTGGGGAAATCTTATAGAGCGCCTCCCCTTGAACCTGTGAGGGCTTCGGATCAGATGGTCGCAGACATTGCCACAAAGCGTCGAAGTCCTTCGCAAGGGCACGTATCCCATATGCTGGCTTTTCCTTATTCGATCGAACCACCCCTAACGTGTAGTCCAGGGTATCAGCTTTAGCGACGGCTTCCGATGAGTTGCTATATTGGGTCCAAACCACCGAGAATCGTGCATCGGCCAGGTTGGAGAAGTCAGACTTTGGTGTCACATAAATGCCGGACAAACCGGATTATCAGTGTATGGAGGGACGGCGCGAGGACTCTTGCATAAAGTAGAAAGATTCTGCCGACTCTGGTGTGACTTGTTGTCGCGCTGCTCTCCAACTTCTTCCAAAGGGAGGACCTGAGATGACCTGTGCTGGCAGCACGTTCATGGTTTTGAAGATGGTATGGATAGGCGCAGCGATCATGGCATCCCAAGTTTCTACCGGACACTCATGCTTCCAGACAACAATCATGGTTTTGGTTGTCTCTGTCACGACCGCAGCATCCCCGTCAGACAGCTTGACCGTTACTGTATTCTTACCTATCGAATGGCAGCAGGCAGTGATGATCACACGTGATTCATTCGGGAGCAAGACCGGGATGTGAAATCTCTGGCATGACTCATGGTTCAGCGGACATGTGGGACCTGGAACAATGACCATGAAAGCCTGGTGTATCTTGTCATGTTGGCGGACCACGGCAGCAACTTCATCCGGTTCCGAAAAAAGCACTCCCTGAAGTGGTTCCTTTCGGAAGTCACATATGGGGACCTCTGTGCCATCATGCAAGCAAAATGTGCCTGGGACGATGCGCAAAGTATCGGCCACTAAATTGCTCATCTGACCCTGCTGGGCTTGCCAGCTTGACTTGATCCGTTTGAGTCGTGCTTCATCGAGATCATGGCGTTGTGGCAAAGCAATTCTCGTCTGTTTAGCTAATATGCCGCATTGCTGCGCAAAAGTTTCTTCATCTGGGATGTTCAGCAGTGTCCGCATTCTAGCTGCTCCGGCTTCTTGGTACAGTTGTTGTACAAATTGCTTGGAGTCTAGTGGGTCAAAACCGACTTGGAGGACCCGGGCGGCGAAATCTTCCTCAGCCTTTAGGACTGCATCGGCTTTTGACCCCCCACCATGCAATTCCATAACCAAATGGATTCTTACTTCCTCAGGCGTGGGTAGCTGCGGGTCAAGATAATGGCTGAACTCCCATTCAGGGTTTGTCCTCTGACCTTTGATGATGGTGCGGAGTTGATCCTTCCGTCCCCAGTATTTCGCCGCGAAAGACCATGCATCTGCAAAGACACCAGTGGGAGTTGTGGACTGGACAAACCCTGACCAGATTACAGAATCCCACAACTTGACACGAACCCGTATACCAGAGGTATGATGCTGAAGTTTGTGGTTCACGACTACAATGAAAAGCCTTGTGGTTAGGACATTCTGCAGGTCTTGCAAAGGGATGGCCGTGTGAGACTCATACCTCTGGATGGACATTTGGACGGAAGTCCCTTTCTGATTTTGATCGTCCCCACTCGAATCCAGCACACTCTTCCAGCCAAAAGACCGAAGGACATTGTCGAGACCTAGATGGCAAAAAGCTTTGAGTGTCGACAGAGCCTGGAACATAGTGGAGACACAGATGAACCCTTCGGGGACTGCATTCCAACGTAGGTCCTGGAATGGTTGAAATTCGAGTTCTGATGGAGGTTTTTCCCCTTGGATCAACACTATGGCTGGCGGCGACTCCGCAATGGCATGTGTCTGACCTAAATGGTTCTGTGCTTGCAAGGACCCTTTGAAATACGGCTGTGCCGTGACGCTCTTCGAACGGCGAAAAGGCCTCCCGGTGTGAAAGCAATGATGATTGTGCTGGAGTGATCTTCGAAAAGCTTTTCTGTCAGGATCATCGGGCCCAGCCACAGATTCTCAATCAGCATCCCGTCTTTGGGAGCAGTGTCTGCTGCAAACAGTGGTAGCTTGACGTCTGCATCTCCCCGAGGCTTCCACACAGCCACAGCATTGGTAGGCAGGCGAAAAACGGACCGAAGGAAATCGAGGACCGAGACATCTGAGCCTAATTTGAAGGAAGTGTGTCCATGTTCATGGTGAACTCGCAAAGTATGGAATGACTGGGCTTGCGACTCCCAGCTCTGCGTTGGCGAAACCTCCTGGCGCAGGATGATCAAGGCTTGCGTCGACGTGCATTCTTGGACAGAAATGTTGTCTTTGGTAAACCGTGAACCCAGTGCATCTTGTAGAAGCCATATTGGGATCTGTGTCCATTTAATGCACTCAAGTTGAGCTATTCCGTTGAGTAAACACAGAATGGCGTGTGGGATTGCAATAGCGTTACCCAGCATATGGTATGCCGCTTTTGCGTCCATCGGGATGTGGCAAGTTGACCCTACACCAAACAAAAGAGCCAACTCTACTTGTGCAAGCCATCTGATCTGCCCCTCGTTTAGGATGAAAGTGCCGATAAGCCCCCCCTCCCGGAGGACATGCTCAGGCAATTCATGCGAGAAAGCATAGTTGGCCATGATACATGGATGTCGTTCATGTGCTGTCCGAATACGGCAGCGTCTGATTTCGTGGGGTGTGGTGCCAACTCCCCGTGGCAGGTAGCTGCATCGGAAATACTTGGTCAAGACCTCAGCATGCACTGGTTGGGCGAAGGCATGGCTGTGATGGTCTGAGGATAATAGGATGGTTCTCAAGTCTGGGATGTTTGATGTGGATCGTTCAGCTGCGAACACAGCCATAGAGCGCTCCAACATTGCGGTAGACTCTTGCGAAGAAACAGCTCCAAATGCCCCTGCCCCAATAGGACTCATGTTTGCTGCTTGTGATGAACTCGCTGCATGAGCTGACAACTCTGGATGTCCTATCCCGAGCTTTGCAGACTTCCTGACTTGCGAAAGCCCGGTCTCTTCTGCCATATGCCTTTTCTCTCCCAGCATGTGTGAGCCTCTGGTGTCAAAGGCATGCCCTGACTGTTGAGCAGCTCGAGCACTCCCGTAGCTGGCATGAGATGATGGTGCACCGAATGCACTCTCAAAAATCGATTCCACCCCTCCCCTTGTCTCCATGGCTGATGCATCATAGCCGAAGGAGCTCTCGAATGACTTCTCCTGGTACAAGCTCCCCATTTCTGCGGCTTCATGGAACCTGAAAGACGTTTGTCCTCTCGCCAGGTTCTCGATCATGTCCAAGCACTTTTCAAACTCCTTGAGGAGCTCGAACTGGTTGGATGGCCGCAGTCCACCACTGGATGACATCAGCAGCATGGCATAATATTCACAAGCCTCACTTCTTCGAACTTCTTCGTTGTAGAAGTTGATCATCACTTGAGCCACCTGATCTCCCGTGCGGCTATCTGGTGTGATGCTGGAGAGTGAATTCATCATCCACTCCGGAATCTCATTGTTCATCCTCATGTTGAGTCTCCTCCTGTCATCAGCTGAGAGACCCGTCATGATGAGCTTTGGACCCACACCTGGTGTTGGCGCGCTGCCCCAGGCCACATCTTGATAGCTTGCACGCTGTCCCAAATGGCTCGGCATGCCTGCCACCTGTTGTCCCGTCAATGATGCTCCATGTGCCTGCACCTGTGGCACTTGCTGTCCTGAGACGGCTCCCTTCATCACAAAAGGACTGCTGGTTTGTACCTGTCCCGCACTGGTTGCCAGTGATGGTCCAGCATCTCTCTTGATGGTTCCGCCTTCTGCCAGCCTGTCTGGATGAGGAAAGCCGTATAAGGCCAGTATCACTGATACAGCCGAATACCCTCCTGCCTCTGCTTCTACCAGCAAGACAGGGAGCTTGGTGTTGTAGAGCATCAATCCCTTCTTCACTCCAGGCCACCTGCCCGATGCTTCGTCCATGAGCTGTGAAAGTCTGTTGGTGAAGTTGCGTGGCACATTGCCAACAATTTTGTGCCTCAGGATAAAAAATGAATCCGGAAGTACCTCGTTTGACTTGAGCCCGATGGAGTGTGTGAATACACGACCCTTGTCTGCAAGGGATAGCCCCTCTATCGTCCTGATTGTTGATGACGTGATAGCCTTGAAGCGCAGAGAGGCCTCCGGGTCAAGAGGATCCACGCTCCCAAACTCTAGGTTTAGGAGCTCAGGGACTTTGGTCCGAATGTACTGCATGTCCGCGCAGTCTCTGGGTCAATTTCTTTCTTGGTCTGCATGACCACCTGTCCAGGTGCCGTGACAGGTGTCAACTGAATCGGCTGAATCGCATGCACAGCGCTGGGCGTCTGAGCTGCAATGCCACTGCCAGATCCCACACCAGGCACAGAGCCTGGTGGCTGAGTCGACTGATTGGCCCCCATGTTGCTTGAGCCAGAAGTCATCGTACATCGGACAAATTCGGCTTCTCCAGCATGCTTCTTGAACAGTGATGAAACTATCTGTTTGAACTCCATTTTCGCTTCTGATTGTCGTCTGAGATTCCAACGCTGAAGTGGTCAATGGCCATTGGCGTAGATAAAGTACCCCTCCATTTGAATTGAAAATCCCCTTCATATGGGGGGCGTATGGTCCTCAGGTCCTCAAAGAGTCTACATTCTACCCCCCCACATCAAATCCACCACCACCCCAAACCGGGTCCGACGTGCTCGCGCTCGCGCCGCGCCACCGCCAGGGCCGCGCGGTGCGCCACCGTCTCGTCGGGGAGCGGCCGCAAGTCCTCGATCGATCGTGGCGCGCGTGGCGCGACCGTTGGAGTCCCAGGTCCTTGAAGACCCCACCGGAGGTGACGTATTTGGTGGGACCCCACTCCCATCAAGACGGGAGTAGGGTGATGGGGGGGGAACCAAAACACACCCAATGGTGATTCCCAACTGGAAGGTGTTGAACCGTCATATTACCCAGAGACCGCCAGGTGAGACTGGCATAGTTGATCAGGATTGCTTTCTGTCACTCTACTCCGCTCCTCAACATCGAGTGTCTAATTGCTGGGACAAAATCGGGGGCAAATGTGTCATATGCCATATCTTTCACACTCATATGATCAGTCATGGGATGTGATCATGTGATTGAGGCTGCCGGAAGAGCAGCCTAAGACTTGACCTGTCTGATCGTTCCCCCCACGCCTCCACAAGCCCCACAACAATGACTTTTGAGTGGTCCGAGGAGCCTTTGTCTGGGATTGGCATATTTACGTACACGATTTTACATGCATTGGGAGTGGTTGACCTGGGGTAAGTAAATATACCAGCCTCCATGGATGGTCTGAAAATGATCCTACCAGAACTGTCCAGTAGCTTTCGACTCTCGCGGGCCTCTCCCCGTCCAGACCGAGCCGCGAAGAGGTCCGCGCGGTCCGCTTCGTTGCTCAGGCCCATGCCGCGCTCCGACTGCACGTGCACGCAGAAGGAGCGCCCGAAGGCGTCGCAGCCTGGGGTTCCGTGGTCCGGGAGGCTGGCGGCAGAGACGGAAAAGACAAGGATATCCCAGACACTCCATGTATGCCAGATACAGTATGCCTACATTGGGGTGGTGCCAGAGGGGTCAATTGATCGGCAGGGCGATCGGTGAGGATTTAGGGTCAAGAGCCGAATCCAACCAGCACACTACACCTTCATCCAACCAGCTCTACCCTTTGCGCCGACATCCACCGCGCAGGGGTGATGTATGCACAGATATATACCCCGCGCCTGGGGAGGTTCTAAAAGGGTGCACGATATAGGCATGGACCTCTGGAAGATCCTGTTCGCCCATGGATTCCATCGCCAGAATCCCGAACAACATGAGTTTTACTCAAAGTGTTGCACCACAAAATGAGGTCCCACTGTTTCCGGAAGGGTGGGTAGGGGATCTGATCACCAAGCATGCCCGAACAGGGTGAGGGTCTCCTGCTGCAGATGTGTCTCACGGATTCCTTCCAGGTCGGTGAAGATGACCGGCCGGACCGGTTCGTTGAGAGGATCGAACCGGAGGAGATCTGATGCCTGCCGTCGATGTCAACATGAATGTCGATCTGATCAGGCCAAGATCTAAATTAAACACGCCCCCCCATTTGGATTGAAAAGCCTCATCTAAGAAAAGCCTCATCTGAGGGCTTATGTAGACTCTAGATTGAAAAGCCTCATCTGGGATGGTTAATCTAAGAGTCTACATCAGCCCCGGGCCGATCTTCCAAGTAGTCGCAGGTCCCCGGACACCTGATCTGCACCTGACAGTGACACCGGCACCTCCCCTACACCACCCAGTCGGATCGGTAGGGTGCAATCCAAAAACTTGAAAAATGGTCCAACCTGATGCCCCTACTAATCTCCCAGGCGCTGATGCTGTTGCGAACGCCCATCTGCTGATCCTCGGTTCTCGAAGGTTCTGGGCCGCGAAAAGAAGTGCCCGGAAATCCGGGTCGATGCGGGCGAAGAAAGGCGATCGGAAGCGGAATCCGCGACACCGGGGAGATCTGAAGATGGGAACCCCCTCGCTTCGAACACGAAGACGAGCTGGGTCGAAGACCAATATATTGGGTCAGGTGAAATCAGGCTCCCTTTGGGGGGCCGTGGTCGTTGAATGGCTTTTGGAACTCCACGTGGGGCAGGAGGACTTGTTTAATCCCAGGCGTCCTGCGCAAGAAATCCCTTTTTCCAAGTACCGTAGACTGTTGATGGAAGAAAATATGAAGCGGTTTGACAGTTTGACCCTCCAAAAGGATCTTCCAAAGATTCTAAAGATCCGTCTATGTCCACCCTTCCACCCCGGCCCGGGCTCCCAGCCTCTTCCCGACCCCCCAAACGTGTTCCAACCCAGGCTCCAGGTTGATGCGCCTCACAGGCTTTCCCGTGACATAGGAGACCAACGCCACCGAGGCCGGCTGCGGCCCTTGCAGCATCAGGATCCGCTTGGGACGGGAACGGCGCTCCGCGTCGTCGCCGTTGGGCGTGGGCCCGCTGTGGCACCTTGGACAGCCAAGGGAGGATGAACGTAGAGCGACCCAGCTCGATGGAAACAATAAATGCCTCAGGACCCTCAGGACACTTTGTGTGTTGAATGTTTCTGATCTATGTGGGCCACCAGCATGGACCAGCAGCAGGCTGCTCGAACACGCGGCCGTGGCGCGGGAGAACACACGACCCATGTCGCTCCAAGGGTCCACTGCACGTCCAAGAGCACCTCCTCGCTGGTCGACAGCAACGTCACCGGCTCTCGCTCTCCACTCCGCAGCAGGTAGAGGCCGTTCGCGCTGTGCCCGTGGAGCGTCCGGAAGTTCAAGTCATCCTCCTGCAGCAGTCGGCGCATCTTTGGCACCAAACAGCTGCAAAAGATCGGGAGAACCCCCAGAGACCCCCCCTGGAAGAATGAAAAGGAACCAAGTACCCATTGATTGGGGGGTCTTCCTACTACGTATACTGTAAATAATACATGCATGCCCATATCGCCCTTTCTTGTTCAACTGGAAGTCCACTTGCTTCGGAAGGCCTCCATTCGAACGAAAACCTCGGGATGGTTCGACAGCGACAAGACGAGGAACGTCTGCGCAGATCGAAGGACCACGAGCATTTGCTCTGGTGGCAAGCTCCATCTGGGTGAATTAGTTGAACTATGTTGAACCCCAACTCTTACCTCAGACCTGGGTGAGCTGGACCGAACCCTCAACCGTTGATCAAACCACCCCGCCTCCCACCGCACTCAAAAGGACTTAAACCGAACCGTCCCACACCGACCGTCCACACCGAGCGCGCGAAGGAATTCATATCAGGACCGACACCAAGAGGTGTCTATAAATAGCCTCTTAGAGGTTACGAGGTGTCCAAAAACCACCTGTTGGAAGGTCCTGGTATATATATATATATATCATACTATATATCTATATATCATACTATATATGTATACCTAGAACCTGAATGACCTCTATTTTAGACCACCGACCACCCAAAATATGGTCTTTTCCTATCAAAACAGAGTTCTAGGTATATATATCCAAGCTTGAAGAGGTGAGATCATGTCCATTGGGTGGGTTTTTCATATGAAGAGTCTCCCATGAATGCGCCGACCAACGCTCCGTGAGCTCGCTCGAGTGCACCAGGAGCAGCAAGTCACGCCCCTCGAGGGGTTCCCACTTCATCGTCACCTCGATCGGTGGGGAGTGCAGCCAGGAGTATATAGTGTACAGCGTTTTCGGTGTAGTTCGGCGTAGTTTCACCCTGTCTCACCGTAGATTCGGGGTGCTTCAATGCCTTTTCCGCTTCTTCCGGGGGCAGCCGGAAGGGGTGGTGACAGGTACTTCGTTCAGCTCTTGGAGAAGGAGATCCTCTAGGAATGATCTATACTTTGTAGCTCTTCTTAGGCCTGTATTGGGCTCTTCTTAGGCCGCTCGCCTCGCAAAACGCTGGGCCTGTTTCATCGAAACCCACCGCTGAAAACGATCTGGAACGGCTTTCCTGTTCGGGAACCCCACGACCACTTCCACGACGAGATCCGGCCCCCGGCGCCATGTCGAACCGAGGTGCCCACGCCGCGGCCGAGAAGAGACCCTTGGTGACCAAGGGTCGCGCCTGGGTGGCGCAGCTGTTGAAGAAGCGGATCATCGCCTGCGGTCGGAGCGAGCCGAAGCTCGAATCCCCGGTGAAATCCCTTCGACCCACCTGGCTACAATCGTGACGGAACACACCCCATGCAGCACCTCTGAGTTCCTAAGGGGCAATGGAACGCCCCCCCCCCTCCAGGACCCCTGGCTGGGGCGTTCGGAGCAAGGACGCCACTAGTAGGGGCTCCTGGCATCGCTACGAACGGAGCAAGGACGCTACCTCCTCCACTCCCTGGAGTCCGCCCTATTCTGCCCAGGGCGCTGGGCTGTTGCTGCCGCTCTGCGCGGGGGAAAAGGTTCCAAAGCAGCAACTCTTAGGGTCGCCGGCCTAGGCAGGCTGACTGTGACCCGTGAAAACTGGTCCGAGGCTTTTGCAACTACAGTAACTACATGTAACTACTCAAAAGTCGCAGGCGGTGACCCTTTGCCGGGCCAGGTGCATGTTAAGAATGAGTACGTCAAGTAGAAGTCCAAGACTAAGGATGTCCACTTTCCGAAGGCCAAACAGGTGGTGAACTCCATGTCAGCCATGATTATTCCAAATACTGCGAGCCCGCCCTTCACATGTTGGAACATGGACCGTTTTCGGCATTGGTCCTCTACAAGCAGGTCATGCTCGACCAGTCTACGGTTGTTCGGCGTTCGGCTTCTTCGGAATAAGCTACACTCTCTCGCTCTCTGGAGTCATGGAAGTGGAAAACCGGTTTTGGAATGGGCCATGCCATCCTGCATGATGATTCCAGTGTACAGGCGACAACTCGCAGCCGCAACCAGGAATTTGGAAGAACCTAGACGCCCCTGAACCCTCATATGCAGGGTCGGATATGAGGGGTCTGGACCAAACCCTATGGTTTGGTTCGGGACCCAGTCGGGCTGTGAACGGAGCGTCTGGGAAAAACCGATTCCGGAGATCTTCGGATGGATCTTCAGGTGGACGCGTCTCACTTTCCTGCTAGCACCTCGACCTCCGTGCGGTTCCCTTCTTTGGATGACGTTGGACAGCCGCTTTCTGCGCCGTCCGAAGCGACAGGTTTTACGTCGGCCGCAGAACTTTCCATTGTTGGACTCACTTGGGGTGTGTGTTATTTCCACATTTTTGGGAGGCCTCCCAGGAAACGACCCTCTGGAAAGAAGGACAAGCGACCCTGAAAAAAAAGGATCGAAAAGGGTCTGTCGGGTCGCTCGCTCTCCACCGGGCCAAGACTCCAATGGAAGGCTGTGCGAAAGGTTCAGCTGTGAGATGTGCTGCACGCTGATCCGGCCCAACACCTCGTGTGGACCCAAATGCGTGAGAAACGGCAGACTGGGGAAACCCCTCCTAGCAGGTACCTTCCTTATGGTGTCTCCAGATAGGCTACCCCTGCTGAGCCGTACTGCTGGATCTCCACTATAGAGCACCCCTTTGAACACGTAGATCCGGCACAAGTTTTGAGAAAAAACTCTCCGGACCAGTCGCCATCACTCTGTCTTCACCCTGCTTTCACCTGGGGTTGCCAACCAACATAGCAGGTAAATCAGCTATTCGGATACCATAGGACCATAGGCATTACTGCAATGCATGCTACCAAACAGCTGTCAGCACTGCACAACCCTCACACGTGCGCCCCGACCCGGTCTCCCCGATCGCCCGGCCCCGAAGCCTGCAACGTGCGGCCGTCCAGGAGGAGGACCTCGTCCGTGACGGCCCTCAGGGCGTTCTGCTCATCCTGCGTCCGCTCCGAGGGCCAGAGCGGCGCGCGCGCCGAGGCCCCCTGGAGGCCCCCACAAAAGTCGAAGCCGCGCTGGCGGCAGGCGAGAAAGGAGTCGAACATGCTCATATAAGAAGATCCCAAGAAATATGAAAAGGGCAAAGGGGTGTTGTTGCTTTCCTTTGGCAGTTTATAAGTGCCTTGCGGCATTCGGACACTGGGCCTTGATGTGCGCCAAGGCGTTGGGATAGGTTGAAGGAATTCGGATGGATTGGCGCCAACTCAACCATCAACCATCATCAAGCTTAGGCAGCTACGTCCAATCCCACCTTGTCCCAAATCCCTTGGATTGCATCCCTGGTCCCTTGATCCCGTCTTCTGCATACCAATTTATGGTACGTCCTACCGGCTCCCTACCTCCATCCTTCCTTCATATCCTTGATTCAACCCAGCCAGGCCAGGCACCACCCCGTTCCACCCGGATCCGGCGGCTGCCCCGTGCTCCGCCTGGGTCCACTGGATGGGCGGCCACTGCAGCGGCGACATGCGCGGCGCGAAGAACCGCTGCACCGCCTCGGAGCACTGGGAGAGTAAGCAGCGTCGAAACACTTCAGCAGAATCTCGTGGTGGAAGGGAAAACCTTTTTGGGGCGCCGGGAGCGGCTTTAAGGGGAACACGATGCCGGCTGGAAAAAATGTCTTTTATAATCCCGCAACGACCAAGAATAAGAGGCATATTATATATATGGCTGAGGATGGTTCAAGCATATCTACCTATTTTGTGTCGAAGCACTCGCGTGTGTTTAAGGCGATGTTGATAGGGATATCACAATAGCAGGTTCTGGTATGTTCTTTCGACCCATCGGTTCAAACATTAAACATATGGTTGACCTGGTGCTGTGGCGTACAACAATGGTTGTTCGTTAAAAGGCTATTTTGCTGTTGGAATCCTTTTTCATGTATTTGGACCTGGGCCCCAAACTGATGTCACAACAGAAAGTCCTCATAATGCAAAAACGTACATTGTTAAGTCCCGCAGGGGTTGTTGATCAAGATTCCGCAGTAACTCACTTTCCATACTGCTGGGACAGGAATCAACAAAATACACCCATCAGCACCAAAGAAACAATCCCGAATGCGTCTAGCCGGGATGCCTTCCAACCCCTTCCCATCCAACCCTGCGACCCCAGCGGCATGTGCAAAGATCTGCCCCGGACCACGCTTCACTTGGAGCTTCAGCACCGCCGCCCGTGCGATCTCGTTGCTCAGGTCCTGCGCCGCGCCCGTCACGCCATTGACACCTGGAGCGGTGGGCGTCGTGTCATGGAGCGGTCTAGGGAGGTGTTATCAATCAAGACTGATATTGTATAAATGTATGCATGCATGTACGTATATACGTACATATGTACGTATATACGTATATACGTATATTCGTACGTGTGTGTATGTATGTATGTATGTATGTATGTATGTATGTATGTATGTATGTATGTATGTATGTATGTATCTATGTATATGTATATGTATATGTATATGTATATGTAGATGTGTAGGTAGGTAGGTAGGTAGGTAGGTAGGTAGGTAGGTAGGTAGGTAGGTAGGCATGCAAGTATGCAGGTATGTAGGTATGTTTGTGTGTATGCATGAATGTGTATGCATGTATGTATGTGTGTACGTATAAAGGGGCTGGTTGGGCTTCGAGTCCCGTATTGGCATGTCAGCTAGGCCGCGTGCCTCAGTCAGAGGCCGGGTCAAAGAACTCCACAGCCATCATGGTGTGCTCCTCGGCTGCCTCGTCCAGGTCAGAAGTGACAGAGACTCATCTGCCAGCTTGGTTGGTTCAGCTTGGTCTGACTCCAGTGCCGGGGCAGCTGGTGCGCTGTCAAAGTCAAGCTGCTGACAGAGACCTCAAGCGGCGCCGACCGAGCGATGTGTTGAGCTGGTAGTGGGGAAGTTTCCGTGGCTGAGTTGTCCTCATGTGCACAGGTGCCTTGGTCGGATTTAGGTTTGGCCTCAATTTCGGCCATCTCGGTCTGGGGCCTCAATGTCGGCAGTTGGTGAGCCTGTTGTGGCTTGTCAGGTGTGGCCTCAACCGGATGAGATGTCTGGCCAGGGTCAGTGTGGGCCACTGGTACATCTGTTTTCAAGCCCTGCAATGCCAGAAATGGTGGGCAAACCGGGGTGCATCATCTACATCCTGGCCTGAGCTTGGGTGAGATGCCATGTCAGCAGTCTCAGGCTGGGGACGCTTCCGGAGCAGTTCTACACTCCTTCTTGGGTGAAGTCGTGACGATGACCCTGGCTTCACGGTCAAGTTGGACCTGGAGGTCACAAGATGTGCAGTGCAGCCTATGCCCTTTTTGCCAGAGCTGATGACTTGGATGCCCTTCATGTTTTCCAGCAAAGGCCTGGTCCAGACAAGGGCTCTGCAGACTTGAGGCAGGGGGTTGGTGACGAAAGCTAGCTGGGCCGGGGGTGGAGGAAAGGCGTCGAATGGAAGGAAACGGCTGCACACTTTTGCTGCAGCGCAGTAGATCGTGATCGGTGGGCTGTCACCACCGGTCATGCTGCTGAGATCCGCGGACAGTCTCGCCAACTATGCCTGGCGGTGCACGCGAGCAGCTACGCTGAAGTGCGTTGGCAGTGCATGCGTTCGGGGGGATAGTTCTCCACTCAAAGAGTGCACAGTGAGAGGGCAAAAAAGAGAATTGCTAGGTCTATATTGGGTGGATATGAGTATCAGAAAATAAGTTCAAAGGAAGTTTAGTGTGCAAAACTTCCGTGTTACGGACATTCAACAGCTGTTCAACCACCACTCATCATACACCACTCATCATACACCACTCATCATACACCACTCATCATACACCACTCA